AACTTGACATTTAAAATTGGTCGAAGATATTGGAGTATCCTTTATTAGCCATTTCCTTTTAAGGAAATATTTAGCATTCATTAACCAAGCAGTCAGCACAGTTGTTGGTTGAAATTTGTAAAATCTTTCTCTTAAAACAATTTTTCTGGAAAATAGATTTTTCACGTCCAGTGGCTCTTTCCAGTAATGGGGGGGGGGGGCTTCTTTCTTAACCTTTTACTTTAAGTAATGTGGAATGACAAGATCTTATGTCATTATTTTCTTTTTGAGTTCCATGTGCTATCCATTTTGGTGGTTGTGCAGTGATGTAGTTTCTGTCATCTGGGACAATTCATTGTTTGTGATTCTGTAGCACTAGTCAACAATGTTGGAAGAAGGATGGTGTTTGCCAAGATCCACAGGCTTCATTTGTTTGAAGCCATTAATCTGAGAAATTGGTTGTACAGGTGATAGTTTCGATATTTCTGAAAGGGTGTGGTGCCATGCAGGACATTAAAAAGAACACCTCAAAATGATGTAACCATTGTTTAGAGGAGTACATTGCAATATTTTTTTCCCAGAATAAGATAAACAAAAGATCAGAAATCATTTTCAAATGTAGATATGAAAACAAATTCCTTCTGTTCTACCTACAACAATATTATGACCAAAATGGTAATGGTAAAATCACAAATGATTAGTATTACTGATGGTTGAAATTTATAAGATCTTTCTCTGATAGGTCAGCGGAAATCTATGAATTCCTGAAAAACTTACCTTTCTTGAGTTTGTCCGGTATTATTTCTGAAACTTCAGTTTGTACTGTACTGTTGCATTTTTTTTATACAATGAAGGCTATTGTGCCATACAACCAAGAGTTTTTCTTTTTTTTAAACCAGTAAATGAATGATTTTTTTTTTTAATGTGATGTATCTTACTTTATAAATAATGAGTGCAGAAACCAACATCTGCAATTTGTTTCTTGTTCATGATTAAATAGATTTAAATGTTATTTTCTATTTTCTTTTGTAGGATTTCTTCAAATAAAAAGAAGAATGGAGTCAAAATTTTGTGATAAAACCATTCACTATCCGTTGGATGACCTTGAAAAATTATCAAATCCTAAACTGCCAGTCCTTTTCACAGCTGGAAGCCATTATGATGTCGGTTATACAATAGGACACCAGTTTAGTAAGCAAATTCAAAAGTTTTGTGCCTATTTTCCTGAGATGAAAACCAATCTGTTGCCTTATTATGATTGTCGAGAAGGAAGAGGCATTTATGAAGGCTTTCTCAATTCTTGTTCCGAAATGTTTCCACAATATCTTGAGGAAATTCGAGGTATGTCTCTGGGATCAGGTGTTACATTTGAGAAACTCTTTCTACTCAATTGTCTTAATGAAATGGTTATGCTAGGAAAAGATCCAACTAAATTCGAAGACAAAGTGGCCGGATGTACAGCTGTGTACATCAATCAACCCGACCTTAAAATATTGGCACACAATGAAGATCATAGTCCATACATGCAAGCATTTGCCTATATTGCTTCGTTAAAAATTGATGATGATGGCGTACTGAAAAATGCTGTGCAAGAGAGTCAGGAATACATCACGGCATATTGTTACCCAGGTTTTTTACCTGGGGGAACATTTGGCTTTAATCATCATGGGATGGTTTTTACTTGTAATGGCCTCTATCCTACACAAGTGATAAAAGAATCTATTCCCAGACGGTTCATTGACCGAAGTTTGCTTAGTGCATCCAGTGCTGCAGAAGCAGTTCATATTTTAGAAAGAAACACATATGGCATGGCCTATGGTGTGTGTTGCAATATGGCATCAAGTAAGGACATAGAAAATATGTGGGCTTTGGAAGTCGGACCAAAGCACCAACATTATTTGCATACTATTCCAACACAGAGGGATCCACTCAAAGACAGTCACTTCATTCATGTTAATGCTTACCAATTCCTTCAAGTTGAAGAGATTGATGCTGTTCGTCTTGGAAGTACGGCCAATCGTTACAAGAGAGCAATAGAAATGCCAGCTCCAAAAAGCATTCGAGATTTGTGCACAATTTTAGGGGACACAGCAAATGAAAACTACCCCATCTTTCGTTCTCCAAGGCCTACTGATCGATCGCAGACTTTAGCAACTGCTGTATTCAATATTCTAGAAAACAAAATGGATATTTATCTGAAGAATCCTAAAGAAAGTAAAGTGCCATCATTTTATTTGCCATTGGATATAATTTGAAGAGTCTAAGAAGAAATATTTCAGGCCAGATCGATTGGTGAATTGTGAGGTAATGGCTCAATGGTTAAAAAACAGGAATAGAAAATAAAGGAGGAATATTGAAAAATGAATAATCTTCAATAGATTAATGTCAAATTGATATTTTTGATTAAAGCAAATTTCATTTGCCTTACAGCTTGATATAACTAAACAGTCAAATCATATTTTAAGCCGACTGTTTCTAATTATTGTAAACAGTAATTAATTCAGCTTTGAATTTTAAACAATTTTACATTTTTTGGAATTTGAGTGCCAAATCCATTTACAGAACATTTAGATAACATTTTGGATGGAGAAATTTTTTTGATTCTGTTTTCAAAGACATTAATCTCAATAATTTTAACAATTATTCATTAAATCATACAAGTATGGAATCTTTTTGATGAAAAGATCATTGCATTTGAAATATTTTCAGCAAAAATTGTTAAAATTTAAATATTTTTCTTAAATGTTCATAAAGTCTAACTTGGGTCAAAACAAATTCTGCTTTTAAGAAACAGTTCTATCTTCAATACTTTTTGTAAGTTTGCATATAAAATTGAATTTTTCTTTGGCATATTTAAATTTTATTAAAGATAAATCTTGTATTAAATTTTGTTAAAAGAAAAATGCAATAAAACTGACAAAATTCTTTTGCTTGTGAGCAAAAATGAATAGAAAACAAAGAAATTTTGTTGACATTGATTTTTTGTTCCAATTTCAAGAATCTTTTGAAGAATTTCTGTTCAATGAAAACTGATAAATAATTTTCAGTCATAAAATCTGTCAACATTACAAATCTAAAAAAAATGATGAAAAAAATAAAAACAAAAAACATTCAAGACTCACTTTTGGGGGCTGAGTGCTGTTTTCTGAAAATTAAAAACAAAGAAGAATAAAAAGAGAAGTTTTAAATGAAAAAGAAAATCTTGATTTTAATCCATCAATTTGGTTTAACTTTTTATTGATCCGAATCATCAAGAAATCAAAAATTCCAATTTTGATTTGTCAAAATGGAAAAGAAAAGAAAAAAATAATTTTTGAAGAGTCAAGTATTTTTAAATTTCAAATATTTTCATTTTCCTCTTTGGTTAATGAAGAAAAGAGCTTTTTCTTTTTTCACTTAAGTTTTCTTCTTTATTGATCACTTCTTGAAATGTGATAACTTATGACATCAAAAGAAAAAAGTCAATGAGGAAGATTTGGTTTCATGCTCATGATAAAATATACATTGCATACTGCAGACTTTTTTCTTGAAGACTCTACAAAATTTCTGTTAGAAAAATGTTTGTAATAAAAATAAAGATTTAAGTTAATCTGATCAGATTGCACACTAGAATTAAATGCAGCTTAATTCTCACTTTTAGAATCAACACAAAACTCACATTAACATACATCTATCCAAATGAAAGAAAGAACACATGGAGTAAAAATCCACAGTTCATAGCATTTATTTTTAAAAAAGTGCTCAATACAAAGTAAAGCAAAATATTATAATAAATTACAATAAAAGCATTTTACATTGCTACACAAAAACTTTGAGGTTTCGGTACTAAGATTGTACTTCTTCAGGTGATGGTAGATAACTAATGATAAAAATGATTTATTAGGAAAATTTAAAAAAAACAAATCTTTACCTCTTTTCATAAGTGGGGGGCAAAAGGTCAGGATTAACTTTATTTTACAAAAAGAGATAAAGATTTTTTTTTATATTTTCCTAATAAATCATTTTTATCATTAGTTTTTGTGTAGCTATGTAAAATGCTTTTACTGTAATTTATTATAATATAATAATTACAAGGGGGGGGGGAGAACAGTGGCTAAAAACTGAAAACTATTCATGTGTATTGCTTTCAAATTTCTCTGCAAAATAGGATTATTTTCTTTAAAATTTTTCTGTGTGGTTGGATCAAAAATTTCCTTCAAAGTTTCATTAACTGAACAATAACCACAGTCACTGGTGTTCATGTGTCCAAAAAATGCAAAAGAAATGATCCAATTATATTAATGAAAGCCTCTTTAAAGAAGACGGCTAATGGCAATTCTGGCATCATTGGATTCAGATTTCCATTATAAAATTCTGTCAATTGCTTTTCAGAATTCCTGATAGGATTTACATATATAAAAATTATAACTTTTATAAGAACACATTAAATTTATTGATGAGAAAATGGACATAAATTGGGGTTGTTAACCCCCCCCCCCAAAAAAAAACGGGAATTAACAAAATTTGATAGAATATGATGAATTTAAAGATTACATTATTTCTGTTTTTCCTCATTACAATGCAAAGGGAATATTTGTTTAGCTGTCAGAAAAAAAAAAAAAGAAAAGAAATTGTCAGGGAATCATAAATTGTTCTTTTCAGTGATTTGAAAATTAAAACCAATAAAGAATTGATATCAAAATAAATATCATAAAATAAAAATCAAATATTTTTTCTAACTTTTTAAGAATACAAAACCAAGTAAAACTTCTAAACCAGAACTAAAAACAAAATATTTTAGGTCTTTGAAATGAAGCTGAAATAATTTTATGTAACATTTCCAGGAATTTAATTTTTGACAAAAACAAAAGCTGGTTGGAAAATATCTAATTCTATTGGTAAGAACAGAAGAGAAAATTGATCTTGACCAATCAAATAACTTTAAATTAATCATCAATTTATATTATTTAAGTGTCTGGGTTTGATAAGTTATGTTTGGAATGGAAATTAATTTCTTGCTTTAAAACGAATTTGTAAATATTTCATTTGAGAAATCTTTCAATAATGTTTTCTTTAAACCATTCCAGCTTAATTTTAAGGTGATCTCCATCGATGCCTAAGAAATGAAGACGGCCAGTGTCATTCAGTTTTCTCAGCCCAATTCGATCCTGTAAAAAAGGTAGAAATAAAACTGAGAGACATTTTAAAAATGCATTCAAGAAAGAGATCTTTTGATTTTTAACCAAATATTTTCTTTTAAATAACATGAAATGAATGAATTGTAACATGTCTAAATAAATGTGTGGTACACAGATGGTATCACTAAAACCAATTTTTGTAAACTTGGACTGGCTGAACTAGATATTTACAAATGGATGATCTGTTTGAATCCCATTTAGATATTAAAAATAAAATCAATTATTATACAAATCAACATAGATTACAATGTGTCACTATATGCAATTTATAAGATACTAAGTCCTATGCAATTTACAACCTGAGATCATTTCACTTGATTAATTCTTGCAGCATTTTCTCCAAAGAACTTTTGTTAATTATTACATCCATGATTTAATAATGTTATTGTCAATCAGAAATTAAAAAACAAAATATTGTAAATAAAATTGAAAATTTTACATGTGACAAACCTCTTTATAAAGGGGACTTTCCCAGATTGAGTAAACCTCTTTCCCTTGACCAGGTTTATAGAAGCCAAACCACTGAAATGAGAAGACAGTGAAAAGGGTCATCAGATTTCCCTTTTCAAATAAATTTCTTCATGCTGACATGACATGGGAGGCAATCCTAACAACGAATAGCATTTGCCTGAAAACTGGCTTCACTGAAAGTGTTAAATCGATTTTCACTTTGTTGAATTGTTCACTTCACTGAAAAATTTAAATGAAAGGGAGATAACCTCTGTCCAAATTTCTGGGTTAAGTTATTTACAGACTATTCGAACTATTGTCTTCATCTTTGTTGTTGTTATCACATCAGAGTGTATATCGATCTGGGTAACCTACAGGAAATTCTGAACTAAACCCTTTATTTAATCAACAGGAGTAAACTGTTATCGTTCCACTGTTCATATCTACTCGAGATATCTTGTCATCTTGTCTAATTCTTAGTTTTTTTTTGTTTTTTTTTTAGTAGTGCTCAATTATTGGTCGTCCTGTTTTCACTGAGTTCAAGTACACACTGCCTGTCCCAGGGATTGAACTCATAATTATACTTAACTAACACTTTAATGCACTAGGCTATTGCTCACTGAGCAGTCTTGGACACAGTGGAAACGAGAGAGCAATAACTGAGCATTCCTAAATATAAGAGCTAGATGAGATATCCCGAGACATAGGCAGTGGAACGAGAACAGTCTAAAAAAGGGTTCGGTTTAGAATTCTCTTTAGGTTACCCGGATCGATATACACCCGATGAAGGCTAGAGGGCACAACGCGACCGAAACATGATACAGCGTAACCCGGATGTAAGAGACCCGGATATAAGAGAGATTTTCTCTGGTCCCAAATTAGAGCCTGTGTTAATGTATATAAAATAGACCAAACCCGGATATAAGAGACTTCTTCTCCGGTCCCGACAACTCTCTTATATCCGGGTTACACTGTATCAACAAAGGTGAGGACAATACTCCGAATATAATTAGTGTAAATAGAAAGGGAGATAACTATATCTGAATAGGACTTAAAAAAAATTATGCATCATTTAAAAATTGTTACGTGATGTTTATTTCAGATAGTGAGTAGAGTACAGTTTTTTCATAATTTATCACTCAGAAAATAATGTTGCTTAATATTTGGGTTTTATTCTTCGAATATTTAAAAACAAGGAGAAAAGAGCCTTTATTTTTACTTTAATATTTCTATTTTAATCGTTTTTGAAAATATTTTCTTTGCTTGACAAAAAAAAAAAAAAAAAAGAAAAAAAAAGACAATTTCCTGGCTCTAACCGATTCCTAGATAAATAATCTACTTAAACAAATCCACCGATTTGTCGATCATTAATAAATGATCGACAAAGCGGTGGATTTGTTTAAGCAACAATGGGTGTAATTTTTCAGAAAAGCATTAAGATAGAAAAAGTTATCTCCCTTTAATTTTATAGGTTTTGATTTTTCCATGAAGTGAAGAGTCAATTTAACTCCTTAACAAATGACAGTTTCACAAGGACTGAATTGGTTAATAAAAGTAAAAAAAGAGTATTTAGTGGAGGAAAACCAACTAATTTGGTTACAATTCAAGTGTGTCATCTTCCACTTCATTTAAATATTTAGTCAAACAAAATGACCATAGATGCGACTTGTTAAGAATACAGATTTGCACTATGCCTCACCTGAATAAATTAAAAATGATTGAAGTATATAAAAAAGGAATGGAATTTTTATGCATCAAATTTCATTGTTAATTAGTGAAAATGAACAATAAATCATTTTAAAATCTGTAATACATGGACAGTAGAATTTGACATTTTCAAGGCTGCATTCTGTTTATTTCAATTAAGAGATTGTAATATTTTGAATAAATAAGAAATATTTGGTGATAACAGTAGGGATAATTATTCAAAATCAATTCTAGTGGTGATAGAGAAATCCGTTTTATTTACATTTGGACTATTGTCCTCATCTTTGTTATTATTATCACAATGTTTTGGCCATTGTGCCATCTTGTCTTCCTCAGATGCTTGCTGATAGCCAAAGAATTTTATCTAAGGATATCTCATCCCAGAAATTCAGACATAAAAGAAATGCATGTTCCTTATAAACTTCCATTAGGAGATGTCATATCAGATTTTTGATTTTAGTAACTTTTTGGCGAATTATAATAATTTTAATATTTGCAGCAAAGACTTGGTTTAATGTATAAAATCATTATTCACGCATTATTAAATACGCATTTTATGACTATTAATAATAATATTCATTATTATTATTATTATTATTTTTATTTTCTTTGATTTCTGGCGTTTACACATTTCTTTCTGGGTCCCACCCAGGGACCTAAGGTTAGAAATGGTGTCATGACACTTTCCACTGACAAAAAAAAAAAAAAAAATAAATTACATAGATAAAGCCCTTTGTAAGATGTGGGCTGTACTTGTCAGAACAATTTTTTGTATCTCCTTGAGGCATGGACTTCCAGGAATCCCTTCAATTAGTCTACTGCAATCTTTTCCAACCAGTCCTAGGGCTCAAACTACAACAGGGATTGTTGATGTTCCCATATGCCACATTTTCGAGATTTCTATTTCAAGGTCCTTGTATTTTGACAACTTTTTGAATATCTTCAAAGATACATTGCAGTCAGCAGGGACTGCCATGTCAATAAGGAGGCACCGTTTTTGTTTGTGGTCTTTAATAACAATATCTGGCCGATTGGCCTTGATTGTTCTGTCAGTGTGTATTGTGTAATCCCATAGAATTGTAACAGGTTCTATCTCCGTAACCGGGTCTGGGTGGTGTTCATACCAGTTTCTTTCAGTTTCCTTCCCGTAGAAGTTGCAGATTTTCCAGTGCAGATATTGGCCCACTCTGTCATGTCGGGTTTTATATTCAGTGGGTGCCAACACCGTGCAACCTGATACAAGATGATCAATCGTTTCTGGATACTTATCACAGAATCTGCATTTTGGGCTGACACAATATTTTAGTATATGTGCTTGATAATTCCTAGTTAGTAAGCATTGGTCCTGCGCAGCAAAGGATAAAACCTTCAGTTTCCGCTTTCAACCCTGCACTACGTAGCCACTGATGGGTGCGGGTTTTGTCTCTCGTCAGCTTGTTTGGTACGGGCAGAGTATTGGCCATGAAGCGGTTTATCTTGCCATTGCTTCTGTATCTGGTCGGTTGCATTCGTCTTTGCTGTCTTTTTAGGTATTTTGCAGTTTCAGCCGGTGTATTGTGCTGTAGTTGCATCTACGCCCATTTGAAACTCCATTTTGAATTTGTTGGCTTCTTTCATTACGGAGTAAAGACGCTTACTACTTTCATGTTCCTTGACACATACCATCATCCAGTCTTCTGTAGTTTCCAAATATCTTTGGAGGCCAATTGTTGTAGTTTTGTAGGACAGTTCTCATTGAACTAATCCTCTGCCTCCTTCGGATCTGAGCACATACAGACGATAAACATCAGCTTTGGGATGATGCATGAGATAGCAAGTGAGAAGCTTTCTCGTTTTGGCGTCCATTCGCTTAATTTCAGCTATGGTCCAGTTAAGGACATTAAAGCTGTATTGCACCACAGGGACAGCCAATGTGTTTATGGCTGTTTTTTGAGTTTAGCTCAGTATTTAGTACCAGACGTACACGCCTGTAGTACTCTTTTCTTATTTTTTCCTTCATTTGGGGGTGTTGTATGTCATCTCCTTCGCTAATTCCTAGGTACTTATAAGCTTCACCATGCTCCAGTTCCCTAATCTTTGTGACAAAATCTAAATCTATTAAGGGTGTTTCTGTAATTCTACCTTTCTTGAAAGTTACTTTTGCACATTTATCTAATCCGAAGTTCATACCTATGTCGTCACTGAAGTATTTTACAATATTGAGGAGGCCTTTCAACTCATTGTCGTCTTTGGCAATGAGTTTGAGATCATCCATGTAGAGTAGGTGATTGAATATTTTCTTATTTATTTTGTAACCATAGCTACTGTTGTTCAGTTCATGTGTAAGAGGGATTAAGGATAAACAAAACAGAAGGGGTGACAGAGAGTCTCCTTGAAAGATTCCACGTCGGATATTCAGATGGTTGGATACGGCAGTGCCCCCGGTGTGACTAAGGTATAGTTTGGTGTTCCACATTCCCATGCTGTGCTTAAGGAAATTTAATACCACAGGGGAGACTCTGTACATTTCCAAAGTCTTAAGGATCCAAGAATGTGGAACACTATCAAAGGCTTTACGATAATCAATCCACGCTGCACTTAGATTCCTGCGTTGTCTCCTGCAATTTTCCAGGATCATTTTATTTATCAGAAGTTGATCTTTGCAGCCATATGAACCTCTTCTGCATCCCTTCTGTTCCAGCGGGAGAATGCTGTTTGTTTCCAGAAAGGAATAAGTACGGTTCGTCAGTACAGACGTGATCAACTTATACGTTGTGGAGAGACGTTATCAGTCTATAATTTTTCGAGTCCTGTGTTTCAGTTGTTTTTGGCATGAGGTGTGTAATACCTTCAGTAATCCATTCCGGGATTTTATTGGGATTATTTACAAGTGTTGATAATGTTTTTGCAAGAATTTCATGGGTAGATGTGAGATGATACAGCCAGAAATTGGGCACCTTGTCATTTCCTGGGGATTTCCATTTTTGGGATTTCGTTAGAGCTTGCCTAACATCATCTGTGGATATATTTTCCCATTCTTGCAGAGGTGTATCCAGCAGTCGTTCTTCTTCACGACGTATCCATTCTGCATTTGGGTTATATTCCTTTGGGCTGCTCCAAATATTTTCCCAAAATGTCTGTACATTATCAATCGATGGTGGCCTTTCGACATGTATAGGTGTTTTTCCAATTTCCTGTAAAATTTCTTAAGATCTGTTCGAATATTTTATTTTGGCGATAGAACCTACAACGTTTTTCGTATCGTCTTATTCTCTGCGCCTTTAGCTGAAGTTTCTGCTTCAGCGTTTCCTTGATTGATGGAATATCAATTAGGGATTTAATGTTATATTTCCGCTTGATCTTTTTGCATTTACGTGTGGAAATATTAGGGTTTCTGGTGAGCTCATCTAATATAGAATGCTCACATCTGATTTGTTTTATTTCTCAAATCAGTTTGGTTTTCCAAGCTGGCTCTCTGTGTCTGTTAATTTTATTTATTGTCTTGACTCCAAGCTTCCGAGTCGCTGCTAAAGCTGTTGCGTATATGACGTTGTTAACTTCTGTGATGTTTCCCGGTGGTTTATCTGTTAACAGTGTTTCCAGAGCAGCATTGTATATTTTCACAATGTGCTTGTTGGAATTCGTCATATGGATTCTCAGGAGCTGGTCTCTGGATGACAATTGTATGAAAGTTACTTTGCTGAGTACTTGGATGACGTCATTTTTCGCTTCGGTGATTTCAGCTTTGTGGTTTTCAAGGAATTCTAATTTATTGTTGCTGAAGATGACTCCAGGTACATTTTCTGGAGGACTGCAGGTTGTGTTTAAGGTAGAGTCTTGGGTTTCATTTCCTGGGAGATTATTTCGTATTTCATTCGCTTTAGCTTCCACCTCATCCTCTGTTGCATTCCTTATTTCTACATTCGTCTCAGAGTTTGAGTGACGGGTCATAGTATTTTGTCTTATATCTAATTTTATCTTATCTATTTCTGCCTTTGAGAGTCTGTTGTTTCGCATGATGTCTCTACGGACATTGGCAAGCATGTTTGGATTGAGGTTAGGTCTTATCTCATTTCCCACCATACTTCTCCATATTTGGTATGTTTGATTGGTGGTGTTCTTTGCTGGGTTTTCGAGTGCAGTGAAGAAGGAAGTCATGACTTGTCGATACTCTTCACGGCTCCATTTTGTTTGTTTACTTTTTATTAGTCAATTTGGTATTGAGTGACTTGGTCCAAGGTTGGCAATAATCCGGGTTTGGTGACCAAGTGTCTCTTCGTGTGTGGAAGAGTTTGTTCCAGTGGCAGACTTTTCGTCCTCAGACTGGTTCCTCTCCGAGGGATGCGGCCCTTGTTGTCCCAGTTGACGGCCAATCCGGTATGAAATATTATTTGTATTCATTGAAATTGGTAGAGATGCGTTTTAACCTTGACCGCCAAGGGGTAATTATGTTCAGGTTATTATTATTACTATTAATAATATTATTATCATCATTATTATTATTATTATTACTAACAATAATAATAATATTCAATAATTAAAAGAAGATGATTTAAGAAAATATAAAGAAAAGAAAAAAGTGATGATGTTAATATTTTAACAGAATGTCTTCAAATTCTTTTCAACATTGTCAAACTGTGTCTTTTCTTTATCTTTTCTTAAATCATGATCTTCTCTTAACTGTATATTATAAATTATAATTAATTAAACAATTTAGTATAAATTCTATGGAACGCTCCATTCTTTTCATTCAACTCATGGAAACATTATCAAACACAGTCTTTTCTTTTTCTCATATAAAATCACTCTTCACTAAGTGTTGAAAAATATTGGAAGAGTTATGTCAATTATTTTGTTTAATAATAATATTCATTATTATTATTATTATTAATAATAATAATATTCATTATTATTATTAATAATAATAATCATTATTATTTTTGTTAATTACTTGTTAGGCTCAACATACCTCACTTTCTTTTGGATACACCATTGTGTCTTTGTTGAATTTTACAAGCACCAAATTCTTTAACTGAAGCAAATTCTCCTTGTAAGGAAGCTTGGAAGGCTGAAATTGAATGAGACACATGATTATTAATTAGTAAAATATTTCTACATATCAAATAATTATAAGGATTTTTAATTCAATGTAATTATTAGAGAAATCTTGGAAAGGGATGTAAAATTCTGGAACAAAAATGTGTAAAAAATACGATGTGAATAGATGAAAAATAAAAAACAATATTATATTTGAATGTTTGAGACCGAAACCTGATTGATATTTTATAAAATGCAATTTTAAAATTAGAAACTATTGAGACTGTTGTAAAAGGAAAATGTCCTTAGTTAAAACTAAATTGTTTCTCATCTGGAAATACACAGAACTCATCTCAGCAACTTGATGAGTAGATTATAGTGTTGATAATTTAATCAGTTTAATGTGCCAAATGACCTACTTTCCAAGAAATGCATGTAGACACAGATGCGCTTTTATTTAACTTAACAGAGACAAAATGGCATCCATGTGTGTAGTGAAATCAATAAGTCAAATATAATGAATCTGGAGAACAATTATAAAGCCATTGATAATTGAGTAGCCAATGAGGGAAAAAAAAAACGTTTGTGAATCTATGAAAACAAGCAGCCAATGATGACCAGAAATGATTTAAAGACAAATGAACACTAAGAAAATTAAGAAACCAACATGAACAGCATTTTCCTTTTGTCTTCTCACTTTGAATTAGTAAATAAATCAAACTCATAATTATATTCAGTTTTTCTAAATATTTGAGGGATTCAGGAAATTTTATTGTTCTGTTTATTTTTTATAGTAGAATTAAAACAACTACAGAAAATTTTTGTTTGTTACTATCCCAAAGTTTTTGCTGTTATATCCACCAAACTTTTTCAGGTGCTTGTTGCTCTAGGTAACCCTCAGAGAATTTCAAACTGAACCCTCTATTTAATCTATGAAAGTTGGGGTGGAGATGTCCCATGGGACAATAGCCTAGTGGATTAAAGTGTTGGTTTGTGAATTTGGTGACATAGTAATTGCGAGTTCAATCCTTGGGCCAGGTAGTACAAATTTAGAAACAGAGGGAACATAGTGAGCGATAACTTAGCAGTATTAAATAATAAAATGAGATGTGCGGTAATGATTCATCAACCCAAACTTCGATAAATAATTTGAATATTAGAACTCCAAAAAATAACAAATAATTAAGAACAAGGTTTATAATAAACACAACATTATATATAAAAATTTAAGAGAGATTAGAAGGAAAATAAAAAGTCACTCTGTGTGTGTGTGTGTGTATGTAATGTAGAATGTTTGTATTTGTTTCATGTAGAGTTTATAAGTGGCTTGCAGCATAGATTGAAAGTTTGAGCAGCATGTGTTAGATTCATTGAGCAGCTGTGATTGTGACCAGCTGGTTTGAAACTGCTATCAAGACCACTGTTGAGACTGCTGCCCAGATAACATGTGGGCTGTTTTATATCTGAATGGCTCTCGAGGCAGGCTTGAACTTTTTGTGCATGGGTGATTACTTTGTGTGTAGGCAGTTTGCATGGATGTTCGATTGTTTCTGTGAGTTATGATGATTGTAAAAAAAAAAAAAAAAAAAAAGATATGATTCATGCATATGCTATTCAATTAACTATCTTTATTTTATTAAATTAGGGATAATGTCCCTACAGATATCTGTAGATACAGACAGTAGAATGAGAATGATCTACCACCATAGATTAAATAGTATTCAGTTCGAAATTTGTTGACGGTTATGTGGATCAAGAAACACCTGGTGAAGACTGGAGGGCACAACAGCCGAAACATAACAACAAAGATGAGGACAATAGTTTGACTGTAAATACCGTGAATAACTCAGTTTTGAATAGATATTTTATACAAAAAATAAAAAGAAACCTGAAAGATGTGCTTACTCTTTCCAGGTTAATGTCTGCCAAGAAGACACTCTTTTCTTTGTATTCTTCCTCCTGAAGAGGATCATGCCAATATTCTGCTTGCACTACACTGGAAGAAAAAGTTGGGAGAAATAAATAAAAAACATTGTTCTTTTTGAAAAAGAAAACTGTTAAACAAATAAAAACAAATTCCTTAATAAGAAACTGACCTTAAAAAAAAAAGAAAAAATCATTTTGAAAGTGTTTTTTTTTTTTTTTGAGAGTAGTGTTTCTCAACTGGTGCACCTGAGCACACTAATGCAACCTGAAAAGTATCCAGGTGCATCTCAAGTTAAGAGTAATTTATGAAATATTTTTGTAATAAAAAAAAAAAAAAAAAAAAAAATCTTTATTTTTAAAAAGCTATAGACATCAAGCATATGACTTCGATGTCTAGATCAAGTGTTTGTCATTTGATATTTTAAACTGGATGCTAAATTCCTTAATCTTTAGAGTGGATAATCTTTTGGAATGCACATGGCTTAATTGATAACTCTTCAATACTAAGCATGAAGGTGTTTTTAAACCTTTATACAAATTTCTTCCTAAAAAAAGAGCACAAGATCTCAGTTGTTTTTTTCATGTACAAAGCTAAATTATACAGGAGCCTCCTATTCATAAGAGCTCTTTCCATTACCAGCATGCTGATTGGGATTCACTTTGTGATGCCCCTTGGAATGACATTTTTAACGATCATATTAAGAATTGCACCTATGAGGTTTACTCTTGGGTCAAAGCCGGCATAGATACTTTCATTCCCACAGAAATACCAAGTGAAACCTCAATCTTCTTCATGGTTCACAGCAGCATGCCCTGCTGCTATAGCCCACAGGAACCACTATTTCCAGCTATACCAGTATGACTGTTCCCATCACAACAGACGCCTATTCTTGATTGCATGAAATAATTGCAAACGTTCTCAAAGAGGCTACGTCTCTGTTTGCTGAGAGAATGATGCACTGTATTGCATCTAACAACTTTGGCTGTTGTGATTACTGGCGGCTGTGTAATAGTGTATGAAATAAGAGTAAGTTTTCTATTCCTCCTCTCTTCAATCAATTTGAGGTGTTAACGTCTTCTGCTGATTAAGCTGAATGTTTTGGAGGGAAAAAAAAAATGAAAGTTTTGTAGTTAAAATATCAAATTCTATTTTTAAGTCCTCTGTTGATTTTCAGTAATTTGCATCCTTGTGAAAGACCTTTATCATCTTGCACTAAGATCATCACTCACCAAGTGTGGGCTATTGCAAATTCTTCCATGTGGGGACCCAAAATGCGTACTAACAACCCTTTAGGCATTTTCCAGAAATTAGTTTCTTGTATAAGTTTTATTGCAGTAAATAGACAAGTATTAAATGATGCACCTTTAAAAAATTAGGTTCACAATCTGTATATGAAGAGAAGGTTTGACACCTGATTAATTCCAAGATATACTTTTGGTATTTATCTTGTTAATATATTTTATAAGTTTAGACATATTTGTTTAAAAAACATTCTAAATGTGATATCACAGGTTGAATACATATCTAATTTACGAACTTTTCTTTTTATCTCCTACAAAAGAAAGGATTTTTACTCCATAAATGTTTATCTGAAGAGATGAACAGAAAGTAAAGGTTGGTTTGCTTGAATGATTCCCAAAATTTTGCATCAGTGATTTTGATTGAGGAAATTGGATAAACAGTGCCAAAGAAAAGGTGTTGCTTAAAACACTGAAATGCAAAAGAAATCAAATCAATACTTGGAGGAAAAAGGAGATGAATGAAGTGAAAATTCCAGTGAAAAGTTATAAAGGAATTTGATTGTTTAATGACATATCAACACTTTCTGGGTCATTAAATACCGAAATTTAAAATTTTTGGGAGCTTTGAAGTAATAAAAATACAATATATGTTATTCTGCTTTCACAATTGAATACATGGTAGATGATACTCAGCTTTTGTGTATAATACATGTTTGTGTGAACGTAATTATTAGAAGCGGTAATATGTGTGTTCTATGTTGTAATTTTGTTGAAGTTATATTGTGGAATACAGTCTGAGTTCTTTACAAAGATGTAGGATATTATATGGATTAATATCATGAAAAAGTTCTTTCATCAACACATCAACCTCCATAGGCCACACAACACTGAAATCCAAATATGTTGAAGACAATTTTATGGCTTCAACTAAATATATTTTGAGTACAATTTTATGCTTTCAGCTACAGATAAAAAGTATTGTTGACATTTTTACTATAAAAATGTATTGCTGGTATTTTTTTATATATAAAAAAAGTATTTCTGGTATTTTTTTTTTATATAAAAAAAGTATTTTTGGTATTTTTAGACTTTCATAATGTTTTTATTTGGGTGGGGGGGGTGTTCACTATTTGCCCAGATCTGGCACCCTAACAGGAGCTACCACTCCAGGTCAGGGTGTACCTGGGAACACTGGCAATTAAGAGGTGGTTCCATGTTCCTCAAAAACTCCAATCTCTTGATCAGAGGCCTTGCTGCCAGATGTAGTTTATTGTCATACCCAGAATAAGAAAAAGAGGAAAATACTTACTGATTTTGAATGTAACTGAAAAGAAAAGAAAGAAAAAAATGTCAGTGAAAATGAAAAGAAAGTCAAAATAGTATTTATTTGTCAATGTGCCAAGCATGAATGAAATATTACAGGTGAGATTTTGTACAAAGATCTGCAGGTTTTATCTGCAAACAACCAAGGACAAATACTTTGAGATAGTGTTTCTAATTACCCAACAAAGAGATAAAGCCATTCCCAAATTTGCTTTACCCAGATGCCAAATTTTCAATAGATAAAAGAAAATAAACTCTCAGCACATTGTCTCAATTCGTAGGGGTGAGGCTACCTAGATGGCCGTTTCTTCATATCCACATTACCAGGGAAAATGTCTTCCATTCTCTCTATCTTCCAGTTTATATTTCATTTTGGGACTAACCCTTTTCCTGCTTAGAATTAATATTTAACCACCTCACAGCCTCAGTGTCACAATAGTATATTTAATCACCAACATTGTTTATTCATGTACTGAAGAATTAAACTTACTTAAGGTAAGCACCGCTGTTTAGTAATTTGCGTATCATATCACAGATTGTGGAGTTATTTCCAGGGCAATGAGGAAATCCGTAGATACCTGAGAAGAAAGAGAAAATCAGATTCATTTTTTGTGAATAATACAAATTCATTCAATTGTTGTAAAACAAAACAAAAAATGCCACAAGGTCTAATTGAGGGCAAAATTGTGTAGAATTGTTAAAGCAATAAAAAAATAGGGAGACTGAATAGTAGTTGAGTAGAAAAAGAAGTCTGCAATCATTTTCAAGAGGGAAATAGGGCTGAAAAAAAGATTAACTTGAAAATATCAAATTGATAAAATAGAACCAAAGTTTCACTTATCAACAGTTCAATCAGCAAAACTTTTATTAGGTTATTTTCCAAAATATATTTGAAAGGAGTGAAATATAAATGGCTTATGGCCATATTACACTGGTTCTTATCAGATCACTGAAGTTGAGCAATGTCAAGTCTAGTCAGTACATACATGAGTGACCAATTGGGAATACCATGTGCGATAGGTGGTGTGTTATAAAGGATGACTCAGAATGAGAAATTACGAATCAATAACAGACATGATCTTATATCACACCCTCTCTTACCAAAATGCATTGGATCAGCACATTAGTTAATGGCCCATTCCTCCCTATGATTCTGTGGAAGGTCTATGTCCCACATAAGACCTTTACAGGTTGAGATTCAAAAATATAAACTTACTTAATTTAAAAAGAAAAAAAAAAGTTTCTTTCACTGATTACTGAAATATTTCTGTCAAATTAATTTCATTTTTACAGTAGTTCAATACATTTTCTTAGTAGGGCAGTGTTTCATCCTTTTTTTTTTTACTTGAGGACTTTCAAAAGCAGCTACAACAAAAATGGATAGCATATGTAACTTGAAGAGAAATTGACAATCAAGATATTAACATTCAACACTACTTCAAACAAAAGGTTAGGAAGGAAACCCCCTATCAATACTTGAAAGAGAAATAACAGTTACTGGATGTGAGAAACCTATTTTCCTGAAATTTTTTTTTTTTTTTTTTAAGAGATTTTATAAATTTCAGCTTAGTCAATGAATGTTCCCTTATAAGGAAATGGCTAATATTACTATTAGTGTTTCAGTAAAATACATTTTTATACAAGTTACCATTGACTTTATAACAGTGTAATTTTACACAAGAAAAATTGTACATTTGGGGCTTTTTTTTCTTCCTAGCAAAAACAAACAAAAATATCTTTAAATAGTTTAATTTTTCAAAGATTATATGTCAAGTTGTTAAATCAATAAAACATTTTGTGCAAGAACTTGTGCAGATAAAATCAGTTGTGAGGGTGAGGGAGAGGAAAATCATTCAATTTTATGCTTTATATATATATATATATATGTGTGTGTGTATCCCGGTAAGAAGAGAATGAATAGAGTACAATTGTAACATTTAATTTAAAAGAGGGCTCAATATAAAGTAGAGCAATATTATTTATTTTAGGATATTTCATCGAAAACATTTTAAAATCGCTACACAATTGCAGTTGTTTTCCAATGTATATCAATGCATCTCATCAGGCGATTATAAATTATTGGCGAGTGAACGATTTATTTCGATTTAAAAGCAAAATACAACCTCTTTTATGAAAAAAAAAAAAAAAAAAAAAAAAAAAAAAAAAAAAAAAAAGGTGTTTATAAGGTTTGTGGGCTTTACTCTGATCAACCAATCAAATATGACCTGTTAAATTTAAACTAAGTGAAGAAGCAAAAATTAAATTCTAAATTGGAAATTATCAGGTTCTTTGATAAAAATGCTTTATTAAATCAAAGATCAGAGGTAATGGTAAACTGTAAACAGTTTACCTTTTCCCTTACATTTATTTAGACTTGGTATTTGCTAAGGTTTTTCTTAAATTTTAGTTGAACTGTGTATGACTTAACAAAATTATATTAAATCCAAATTAATCTTAATTCTGTATTAATTTCCTGGTTGTATTAGTAACATCTTGTACTTATGGTTGGTATTTGGATATTTTACAGTGATTGGTTATTGTTAACATCTTATATGAAGAATCTTTATTCAACAGTTGCATATTAATTTGCCAAGTAATTCTATATGTCTAAATTATTTACTGGTTTCTTAGAGAACCTATTTATTTATCAACTATAAAAATCAACTGATGAGATGCATTTATATGTATCGAAACAAGACTGCAATTGTGTAGCGATTTTGACCAGTTTTTTGGTGTAATATCCTAAAATAAATAAATTGCTCTACTTTGTATTGAGCCCTCTTAAATTAAACGTTACAAATGTTGGAATTGTACTCTCTCTCTCATATATATATATATATAAGAATGTATTTTATTTTTTAATCTAACATATATTTTTACTATTTCTAAAATTTTTAGTGAAATATTCATATTTAAGTAAACTATTTTTTAAACAGTGTTTATTTTGTCTACCAGCCTGTGTGTGTCAAAGAAATTTAATAAAGAAAATGTGCCATCCGGTAGGATTTGAAATGGTGTTCCCTTTCCAGTCAAAGCACGCCAGATCAGATAATTTTTCCTGCAAAGGAGGACACTAATTATATTATTTACATAGTTCAGACTGTTGTCCTCATCTTTATTGCCATATTCACGATGTTTTAGCTGTTGTATGCTCCAGCCTTCTTCAGATGATTGGAATTTCAAACCAAACCCTTTATTTCATCCACTGAGGTAAAATGTTCCAGTTCCACGTTCCTTGCCTTTTCCAGATGTCTCAGAGTTATCTTCCTTTAACTCAACTCTCCAATTTTTTGTTCACCACTGCAGTAGCCAGGTATTGAACTCTCAACTCTTTGGGTCATCACTGGATCCAACCAACACTTATCCACTGGTACATGTGTCCTCAAAATTGGTTGGATCCAGTGACTTGGCCCAAATCCTAGTGTTGGTTGGATCCAGTGACTTAACACAAAGATTTGTGAGTTCAATACCTAACTACTGCAGTGAACAAAAGAGTTGAGTTGAAGGGAGATAACTGAGACATCTGGAAGAGGCATGGCACATGGAACTAAAATGATCTACCCTGGTGGATGAAATAAAGGGTTCAGTTTGAAATTCCAATACCTCATCTAAGAAATATAGAGAGATATTAAAGGAGGACATATGTTCAAATCCTGCTGAAGGGCACATTTTTTTTTTTTTATTAAGTTTGAGTGTCTACTCAAATATGGGTCTCTATTAAAAATAATGTTTAAAGTAATATATGTGTGTGTGTATATATATATATATATATATATATATATATATTAGTTCTGGGAGAATGGCAGAAGTAATCAATACCTCCCCAGCTTTCATCTGTTGTCTATTATGTACAGCATAGCCTTCTTTGGATGTATTCCTAAAGCACAGCTGATGTTCTTGGAGTTCAGTAAAACAAATTGTTGCAGTTTCCTTGTTGAAAGACATCATGTAAATTCCCTGAGAATATTGTAGCTTTCCGTAAGGGGGTCAGGTAAATGTATTTTTTAGTGTTGATCAATTTTATATCCCAGATTTCTTCTTCCATCTCGCTTTTGATAATGACTTCATTAAGAATTGATCTCTTTTCTACAAGAGTCTTTAAAGAATGCAGTGAATCAAAGAATGACTTTTTATGTGTGAAGCATAGTGCAGACCTGCGGTGCCTTGTACACTGAATCATCTTCTCATTTTCTTCATATTTCATTGGTAAGGAGGAAGTTATACTCAGAGAACTTCTTCTCCAGAACTGTTGCATTATGGAATGGACTCCAGAGAGGATGCTTTCCCAATCACTACAATCTCAGACTCTTCAAATCAAGTATCAACTGTTATCTATCCTACATATCCTCATAATATTCACCTTGAGCTCTCTCTCCCTGAATGCACTTAGGCTTTGTATTGGTGGGGGACAGTATTTAAAAGAAAAAAAAAAACTATATAAAACTGTTTAAGGTAGTTTTCCAATTAACCATTCCAATGTTGCTGGAGAATTGTGAATAGGTCTATTTTTCAGGTTTGATCACTTTCCAATTCTGAACATTATTTTCCCTTCCAGTTAGTGCTTCAAAGCTCTACTAGAATTTCTGTCATAAACATTTACGCATTCTGTTTTTACCTGTTGCTTTTCTTGCCTGTTCAGCCCGGTTCTCCTTTACTCTTCTTGCTAGAATGTGTTGCTTGTTTTTAGGAAGTTTATTTCTTAGAGGGTTTCATTCAAAACTTGTGCATCTTTGTCACTGTTAATAGAATTTTGAATGAGTTTGAGTCTGTTGTTGTGTTGCACTTTGATCAGGGATATTTATTTCATTAATCTCTGATGATTCATTAATTACATATTCTCATCATTGACTATTTCTTCAGCAATTGAGGCTCTTAAACTTGAAAACTCTTTATATTTAATGGATTTCAGTTTCTCATCTGAATCCAGTGTTTTCGTTTATAAGAATGGCTTGAATGAACAGTCACATGTATTAACACCGGTTTCACATATCACTATTTGACCTTCAACGTCTATTATTCAACCAGGTCCCTTCCATACTGATACACCTTCTCTTTTGAATCACCACTATAGAATATTTGTGAAGTTTCATTAATTAGATTCTACTAAAATAAAATCTTGACAAGCTGAGTGAAGTGCATTTAGATTGCTTAGAACAACTTTGGATGTCGATATAATCATCAAGGCAGGCAATTCATCTTGGAAAGCACATGGGGAAATTAAGATTTTTGCCAAACAGTAGCTGATTTAAAGAATAACCATGCACATTAGCCAAAGTATTTTTGGCAGTGACTGTTCATGCCAAGGAATCATTTAATGTCTATTTTGTGTCTACCTTTAATCATCTTATCAGTCAGTATGGTGCTTTTTTTTTTTTATACCTTTGCTCCAGAGTGATTCAGTTGTTGTGCGTATTCAGCTTCTCTCCCATCTCTTGAAAATCATTGTTGCTAAACTTTCATTCATTAAGTATTCTTTTCAATAGAATGAAAATTGAGACCTATGCATGTAGTGCTTCTGAAATCATGATATCCATTCTCTTTTATGGAATAATGTACGCAGCACTGAATTGGGTGGCATGGTTAGTCACGTGTACAATCAAGTTTCCATCCAGCTTTCTTAAATCCATGGCGATTGATTAATTTTTTAGTTAGAGGAATGCATCAACTTGGATTTGGTGGAAGCTTCTTATATTTTAAACACATTGAGCAATTCTTGGGAATTGTTTTCAGTATGGAGTTATCATCGACATTACCATTAATCAAAAGTTGCTTTTATTTCTACTTGCATGATTGAAAAATGTTGATTAATTTTCATATACTGCTTCTTTTTCTCACTATCACCTGCTTGCTCTGTTTTATGGGAGTTTGAGAAATACACACGCATCTCATTGTCTTGATATGTAACTCTGGAGTTTCTATTGATGGGAACATGTAATAAAGACATGAATCTGAGATTTATTTATTTCTACTTCATATGTTAATCATTTTTTCTTTAGGCTCTGCTACCATACTGATTGAAATTAAACAGTCTATTCAAACATGGTTGCTATTTTATAGCTATCTAATAAGAAGCATGTAACTCAGAAGAGCCACAGCAAGGGAGACAATCAACAACTATCAGCTTATATTTTGTTCCTGGTTGCAGACATACACAGTTAACCTTTAACGTTATATCACATTTAATTGTTGGGACACTAAGATCACAACAATTTATTTTTTAATCATCAGCCTAAGCAAGGCAAAAATGGCACTAAGATGCAAGGGGTTACTGGGAGTGAAAGAGAACAAAAAAAATTTAGTGAGGAAAAAAGGACAATAAGAGAACAGGTTTCAGGAAGACAGCAGTTTATGTTGCATTTAAATTTGTAAAGATTGTAGGTGGCAGGGAAGCAAGAGACTAGAAGAGTTCCAAGATGCCAGGTCAGGACCAATTATAGAACTTTTTTTGGATTTTGTTGAGAATCTTAAGATATATAGTAGGAGCAAAAGACCAGTTATGGCAGCTGTATTTAATGCATGGACGAATAGTAGATTTATAAATGTGTAAGATAGATTCTGACAAGAAAAATTAACTGGCATGACAGAGTGAACCAACTTTCCTAGCAGCAGACCTAGCAATTGATTCAATAGAATCACTTCACTTCATGTCAGTGGAAAATATGAGACTAAGAAGACACAATGAGTTGCTCTCCTGGAGGTTAGCATCAGCCATGTTGGTAGAAGGGAAAAAGAAAAAAGAAAATAAAAACTAATTAAATATGGCTTCCATGGATAAAGTGTTTTCTTTGTTTATCATTTAAACTTTGAATCCTGTTTCTACCCCATCAGATTTTTTTGTCAGAACTATTACAACAGAATGCATGGTCGTCTGCAAAAGAGACATCCCAAGGTTTGAAATACATGTTGGGGATGTCAAAATCAAGTAGGTAGGGAAATTTAACTACGTGGCTAGTAGCAACAATTGATGAAAAATATGACAGAAATTTGAAAGCACATACAAATAGTAATCTCCCAGAAACCAAGCACAGTAATAAAGAAAAAAGTGTTGAACTTTGATGCAATATCTAATCTCTTATATGACAATCTCTTCACAGTTGAAGAGGAGATTTGAAGGCGTCATTCTATCGATGAATACAGAGAATATCATGGACAGAATATGTGAGTAAAGAGGAAGTTTGAAGAAAAATAGAAACTGCAATGAAACTGATACAATCACAAAGAAACAAGCTGAAATTTCTATGTCACATAATGAGAAAAGAGGGTCTGGAGAATTTAACACTCACAGGACATACTGAAGCTGGGGAACAGTGAGTAACTTGCTTAACATTTTTGTGTGATTGGATGGCAGAATAAAGACAAAGAGAGATAGTAAAGAGCAAAGAATTACTTAGAGCAACAAGACAATTGATAAAAGCTATGATTGCTTATATCTTGAAATGACATAGCACATAAAAAAAAGTTACAATTTATATACGCATGAATTTGGTGATATGTATTCTTCCAGAGGATTTACAGGTCGTGTAATGTTTAGTGACTTGGGACAAGAAATTGGTGAGCTGCGTTTGAATTCTAGTAGAGTTTATTATATTCACTTTTTCACAACTACCTTTCTCCCCCAAATATGGGTTAAGTAGTAGGGCAGATTAAATTTTTCAGCCTTGGTTGAAGACTGTCATAATCAGTTGGGCATAAAGCTAGCAACTCAATCACATAAAAATCTGACTTGCTATAGAAATCACAGAGGCAAAAACCTTGTGTGGTAGGCTCATACTCTAAAGTTGGGGGCATAACAGAAATTGAGAGCGAGAAAAAGAGAAAGACTTCCTGAAAACCCACATGATTGATATTAATTGGTGTGAGCAGAAATCAAAACCACACAGCCAGTATGGTTTGATTCATTAAACAATTTGTTCATGTTATACCTGGAGATTTTGGTAGTGATTGAACCAACAGATTCTTTAGCAATTAAGAGTAACAAAAGTGAATCTTTACCTACACAAACATGGTAGTGAAAGAGAATTACCTTGATGCTGTCCACCCACAGAAATCAAATTTTGCATTGGAGGCACAGGACAACGTTGTGCTACACCTCGCCTTTAAAACAAGAGAAGAAAAAGGTTACACAAAACAAGTATCCCTGAATTAAAAACATTAAAAAGCATGAAAACAGTCTCCAGATTTACTAATAGAATCCATTCACATTCATCTTACTTATTATAAAACGCAGGTTGTGTGTGTGTCTGTACGTTTATATATTGGATTGGATTTCCTACATTTTTCAACCGATTTTAACAAAACTTCACAGGACTATGTAAAATTACCTTGCGGTGGTTCTGACAGCGCCAAAAATTGGAAAAAAACGATTGTTTTTGCATGAAATCAATTTGAAAATACGATTCTGTTGCCAGAATGAAAGGGGAACAACTCATATCGAATTATACTTATTATAAAACCCAGGTTGTTTGTGTGTGTGTGTGTGTGTTCATTTATATATGGGATCGGATTTCCTACATTTTTCAACCGATTTCAACAAAACTTCACTTTTTTTTTGGCAGGTAGTGTTTCTTATTGTCTTGCACACTTTTTTCTTTATTTTTACATTCAGAATGCTTTAAAAATTCCATTTACAAGACAATTGTTTATAATAAAATTCTATTCAATTGGTAGACTCATAACGATTGAAAATAATGTTTTTGTTTGAGTTTGACCAATTCGTAAAAAAAAATAAATAAAACTAATTAAGACATGTGTGTCCGTCAACCTTAAACAATAATCTTTGTCAATTTTATTTTTCAGTCTTTATGATGGTCGATACTTGATCTATCTCTTTTACTGTTTTATCCCCAGGTAACGCCGGGCTCTACTGCTAGTACAGAATAAAAGAATTTGATTTATTTGGCATTAGAAGTTAAAAAAACAATTTTGAAACCTTGTAGAAAGACATTTCTTCTGTTTGTGATGAACATAAAAAAAATCATTATCTGCCTTTTGAATAAAAAATAAACAATTACAGTTTTCATACTGAAAGTTTTAGTTTGAATAAATTTAATAATAGTATAGTTAAGCAAATTTTAAATATTCAACAAAATCTGAACTGATCACATTAAAATTTCCAACTGAATTAGATTAGATTTTTCCTGCCATTAGATTAGTTGAAACTAGTTATTATTTTTGCCATTTTTTTTGTCTTAACATTCATCAAAAATTACTGATTGCAAAACCATTTTCTGACTGCTCAGGACACAAGCAAAAATGGAAAGTCTTTGCTAACTCTTTCAATGCATCAAATGTTTGAAGGTTAAAAAAAAGAACTGTTTTGCAAGAAATGATGTTTCTATCATTTTCTTGTTTAGACAGCAGGAGTGGCTCTTCTTCAATGTCCTGTATCCTGGGTTTGTACAATAAGCAAATTTCATTGTTTTCTTTTGTATCAAACAAAAAGGCAAGGAAGCTTCTTGTGAAATCAGCAAATGTTTTACTGCTTTTCTGGATGAGGCTTACATTTACTTTTTATGAATTTTGTAGTTATTCTTTTTAACTAGATTTTCAGATTTTTTTTTTTTAATTTTAACACTGAAATCTTTTTGTACAAGGGATATTTTTTATGTTGTGTGAGCATTCATTTTGTTAAGGGATAATGATTTTCTGCTTTATGTTGGTTGTTCTTTTTAGTGTAAGCAATTGAAATAAAAAAAAAACAAAAAAACTTCATCTTCTATAAAAAAAAAAAAAAATTTAAAAATGAATTACAAATGTTAGTTGGGGTAAAAGGCTGCAAAAAGGTTTAAATAAAAAAGAAATTTTTGTTTGCTACCATTCCTAACAGGAGATTAACAATAGGCAAAGATTATCATTTGTCAGCTTTCAGCAGGAAAACTAGTTTTCTTGGTTAAAAGAAAGTAATACTGTTATTGCTGTATAAAGTTAAAAACCTTCTGTGCAGAACTGGGTGTACTTTTCTGAAAAGCAAAGATTTGTGGCTACTGAAAAAAAAAAAAAAAAAAAAAACTCCTGAAATTTCTGATTAAAAATTCCCTTTGCTGAATTTCAAATAAAGACTATCAGTAGAGAAAAGAGAAAGGAATTCCATTAACTTGTATGTTTATGTTGTAGTGACACTGTCCCCATCATTTGAATAGTTTTCAAGTCCTTGACAGCTGCATTCCCATGTGTGTTGCTAACTACTTCCTTTTGTTGGTTCCTCTGTGATTGACTGGGGAAGATGTCACATTAACTATTCAAATGTCATGATTGGCTTTCTCATTGGAAACACATTATGACAAAATGAGAAATCCAAGAAGAGAGAGAGTTAAGCCAAATTTGGCGTTTCCATATAATTTATTTCACTCCAGATGATTGTGAATTGAGTAAGGAATGAAAGATGTTCCTCAAGAAACCTATTCTCTCTTCTTTTTAACATCTCACCATATGAGAGAGAGATGGAATCTATTAGCATACTTTGAACACTATTGAATATTGTGGGTTTTTTTTATTCACTTGTCGATTTGGGCTCATAATACCATAGTCGTCCAACAGCACCAGCAATACTGAGAAAATATCACCTACGAAAATGTTTCCAATTTCCATCTTCTGACACAGAATCTTAATTATTGCAATCTATTTGAAGGATATCAATACAAATCACCTTATATTGGTAGAAAGTTTTCCTTGAATTTAGAAATGAATCACAAAGTTCTTTTTCTTCTCAGGCTTAATATTTTTTCCAATTTCATGAACACTAATTATAGATACTTATTTTGAACATTTTTTTAAAAAATAATTTTATCCCAGGCAAGGCAATAATGCCACTAAGATGCAAATGGTTACTGGAGCGAAAGAGAATGAGAAGACTAGTGAAGAGAAATGACAATAAAAGAACAGGATTTAGGATGACAGAAGATGGCAATTGACATTTGGATTTTTAAAGAACGTAAGTGACAGGGAAACAAGAAAAGGGTTCCACTGGTGAGAAGTGTGAGAAAAACTATTAGAATAGAACTTACGATTACATCCAGCTATTTCAACAGTAAAATGATGAGACCTAATTGCCAATCTAGTAGTAGGATTTAAATTCATGCAGTCAAAGTACCAAGGAAGAGAGCTCATTAGAACAATGTCATGGTGATGGGAAAATCAGTAAAGTTGAGATGCTAGGTCAGGACCAATTACATTGCAGACCCTTCACTTGTCTAGCATCATTCTTTTCTGAATTCATCTCATTCCTACTTCTTTCTCTTTTTTCTTGACTAAATCTTCATCGTTTTACTCTTTACCTAAACTGATCACCTTATCAACCAGTATGTTCACTTTTGAGATGTCAAACAAGCTCATCATTTGAGATTTGAGATCATTGGAAGTGTGGGAAAAATATATTTAGGCTGAAGTGAAACAAAACCACATGTTAAGTAATTAACAAACTAACTCAGTGGTTACTAACACTAGCTTGTAAAATCCTATACTATAAAGAGAGCAGATTGGTGATTGCATCACACTGTATCTTTCTGTTAATATCAATGCAGATTATATCTTTTAGAACTTATCACATTAAAATAAAGATGGCTACCATTTTATGAATTTCTTTTATTAAAATTGAATATTGCAAGATTTTTTAAGTTAATTTTGATTATTTTAAGGGACTGTACTAAAATGAACATTCTAAGAGACTGCAATGATGATAAGCTTTCATAAAGAGGAATATGCTACATATTTGAGGAATGATTAGTTCTCAGACATTTGTCAGGCAGATCAGAATTATTCTTTGTTACAAAAAGTGAACAAAAAACAATTATAGTTCCTCAACCAAATTCAAAACTAGTCTATTGGTTCCCACAATTTTCTCTCTTTTTAATATTATTTATCAATTGGAAGAAAAATGAGAATGGTTGGGGCAAAAATACAAATCTATCTTGGTAACAGAACAGTCTAAGTTTTAAAGAGTTGAGAAAAAACAATTTTAGCATTTAAGGACTTTTATATCAGAGGTTAACAAAAGGCATTTAAAAATTGTCAGCAAGCGCACTTTGAATTCATAGCAGTGTATACTTGTTTCCTATCACTTAAGAATCAATAAAAGGATAGATTCTAATCTTGGCTGTTCTCACACTGATTTTACATGCATAAGATCTTTACACTTAGTTATGTGATTCTGTTGTAATGTGATAGATTGAGATCAGGAAAAGAAAAAGAAAAGCAAATTCTAAAATTGATGTAACATTCACTTGTCTTTCAGTTAGCTTAAAAATTTTGTCAAATGAAAACATTATGACTGGTTCTTCTTATGGTCAATTATAGAGTGTGTGCAGGATAGATGTGGTATTGAGTAAAATTAAGCATTTTTTTTATTCAACTGCCAGAAAAAAAAAAAAAAAAAATCAGGTGCAGATTTTGTTCTGAATTCAAAGAAAGTTTCTTTTCAAGATTTAGATAAAAATGAATAATTACAATAAATTCAATTATTTAATGTTAGGAATGGTTTCTCACTTTGTGCTGAGAGCAATAAAAAGCAAGTAAGTAAAAGTAAACTCACAGAAATTGTCCACCTTGAGAAAAACCTATGGCATTGTAACCTTTGGCAAGTTTTTCATCAGAAGCTAATTTTTTGCACACTTCTCTTATTTGATCATTGACATTCATTAGAAAGCCATTTTCTGTGTCCTGTAAAAGTTAAAAATAAAAAAAATTAATAACTTCAACAATTAAATATGTGGAAATATTTATTAAAATGCACAACTTAATAAAAGGTGCTTGGGTAATTAGATTTCAAGGATTAAGTATTATATTGAGTGTTTAAATATTGACTAGGTCAAAGTAAGCATCAAACTCAACATTGTATGACAAATATGATTAATAAATGTCGTCCCTAAAGTTGGATGAACTAATATTCTCATTTTTGCTGGTTTTGTTACCATATTTTTGCCAAATTATTCTTTAGGCTTCTTTATGTTTATCAATCACCCACTTAGGTGGATGGGTGTTGGGTTTTGGATCTAGGTGTAAAAAAAACCTAATATATATTGTCAATCTTTTTCCATAGTGAAATTAAGAAAGCTCCAGCTATATATACCAAGTAAATTAACACTTCTACTTAATCTTCATTTAATTCAGAAGACACCATTTTTAACAGTTCTTGTAATAATCAGTTCCTTGTACTATGAAGTAGGAGAGTCTGCTTCACCTGTTTTCCCTAATTTGAACTCTTTCATATTTATTTAGAAAATATTAATTTCTGTTTTTTTTTTTTGCATACACCTGGCAAGCCAATGTCAGATTAATTTACAAATAAAGTTTAATTTAGACCAAGTCAGGAGTTGACTTTCTTACTTCAGTTCCTGTGTTGATATTTTAGTCCTTTACTCAAAATAAAAGCTACATACATTGCCAGCATTTTGTCAGACATATTGTCAACAGTTTTTTTTATTTTTTCCTAAGACAACTTTCTATTATTTGCAGTTTATCCCAAAGATAACAATGTGCTCCATCCTCTCCAAATGATTAGTCATGACTGACTTGAGGGGTACTTTGGATTAAGGAGTCAAAAAATAAATTTAAAAAAAAAAAAAAAAAAATAACAGTAATATCAAGCAACCCAATGACCATAATAATATCAAAGCATATGACCATAATAATATCAAATCATCTAACCACAATATCAATTGCATAAATTCAACTGTAGTAAAATGACTTGTCATAGTGACTATTCAGATGCTTTTTGAACAGCTAAGGGTTGGAAAATGGTCAGGCTGACACTGATAGTTGTTTTATTGAACATTTTGAATGTCAAATGCATGAGAGTGTCCTTGTGTCTGGCTATAAATGATTAGAGGCTCATTTTCTTAAAATAGCTAAAAAGGTTGTGCAGTCATCAATGTCTATTTTGAGACAATCATTTCATTCTCCGTGTGTCTCTTTTTTGTTTGGCCTGCCAATAAGTTTACTCCACTTCCATCTTGGATAAATGGGTATTTTGGTTTTGCAGTGACGTATCTATCGCTGGGCAGTTTCTCTCTCTGACTAAGGAGACACTCATAAAGCAGTGAAATATCAAATCAGTCCACAAGTCTGTACAACTCATGCAACACAAATGATAGCCATCAATTATGATAAATTTAAATGCACCATTGCAAATAAGTAAAATTTATTTTCGGTTAAAATGTCTGCTGATGCAAATGAAAACTTTGTACACAAACAGCAGGAAATCAAATAGAAAGAATTTGTAAAATAATTTAAGTGCATTTTAAATTCAGCAATTTTTGATAGACCAAATACACTTTTTTTTTTTTATCCAATTTGTCTTATCTTCAGAATTTGAGAAATTTAACCATATATAACCTAACAAACCAGAACCTATCTACCTAGGTTTCACCTAATCAGAATAACTCTGGTGTTAGGTGAAACCTAGGTAGATAGGTTCTGGCTCATCATGTTTTTTTTTGTTTTTTTTGTTTTTTTACTTAGTGTATTGAGCACTTTTACATTTTAACTTAAGTTACTCTGTCGGTGTTTTTTTTCTTCTAGCTATACATTATCGTGCTGGTTGATTATTTTCATATGGCATGGTCTTTTCTTTTTTTCTGGATATCAGTTTGTCTAATATTTTTTATTTACAAATTGTATTATCTGTGTTTTTTCACACTGCCCAAGTATAGGTAATTATATATATATATATATATTTATTAAAGACATTTTTATGTTTAACGTTCTTTTTTATAAAAATGTCTTTAATAAATAAATTGTCGGACTTTGTCCATTTCTTAATATATATATATATATATATCTCATTTAAGCTTTATTTTTAGTGGATACCCATATTTGAGTAGACATTCAGTTTATTTATTAAACAGTATATTTATTTATTTTTGTGTACTGGCCTAGCTATCAAGAAATCTTATTAAAGAAAAACGCACTCTTTGGCAGGATTCAAACCTGCAGGAGAAATCATTGCTATTTCTGTCATGTTCTAGACTGACAGCCATGGAGCTTGCCAGAGAGTGCATATTTTTCTTTAGCAAAATTTCTCCAATATTCAGATGAAAATAAATAAATATAATGTTTAATAAATAAACAGAGTGTCTACTCAATTATGGATATTCAATAAAAATAATGTTTAAGTAATAAATAAAAAATCCATTACTTAGAAATATATGTAAGATGTTTTTTATTCATTAAAGATTATGTGAAACATTTGATTTTTTTCATTGTTATTTCTGTTATTTATATGCAAAATTGTACATTCTACAAATTTAATTTGAATGGGTTAAGTTTTGCTTATATTTTGCTTCCTATTAAAAAGTTGATGTTTATTTAAGTTTTACGTATTTTTAAATTTCAAAATATTATCGTTATTATTACATAAAGCCAATAACAGCATACAAGGGGGTGCTGAAAATTTACTAGTCTGACCAACTTCCCAAAATCTGATTATACATCAGGATTTTTTTGGAAGGGCTTCTTGGTAAAGTTGCACTCACACATATTTCAAATAATAAAAAAATATTTTAAATAACTTAGTTTGATAGGATAAGTATATTTAAAATTTGAAATCTTTTCTTTTTAAAGATCCAACTGAAACCTTTCTGATTATAGAAATTTATATCAAGTTTTCATAGAACACTTAGTGAATATTTTCAAACAAAAGTGTAATTTGAACAGCAAAATCTGTGTACATCTTTTTCTTAAGAATGATTCCAAATAAATAAAAGTTTTAGATAAGCAAATGAAAAGCAACAGTATAAAATAAAACACTCACAGATGAAATGACATATGATTAGCATGATTTGACAGCTTACACTTCCATGATATTAAAGAAAGTTGCAATGAACAGCAATGAACAACTGTTGCAGCATTGCTTTAAAGGATTGATCATTCTTAAAGATACCAGTAATACAAAGAGAATAAAGCAAAGCTTATCTCATTGTAGTAGTGTTTTTGGAATGCAAATGGCTGCAACAGACAATGTTCTGAAGGAATTACACATGCACTGGACATTGTCACAGTGCTAAAAAAAAAAAAAATCAATAAAGCTCTTGTATTCAATGCAGTATTACTAACTATTGCAATATAATTCAGACAGATGCGAGACACATTTCTAGAAATGTTATGCTTCTTCAAGCAGAATCAAGGCAACAATGATTTAAAATGGAAATAAATCTTTAAAGCTATTAATTCAGTCATATTGATTGAATGGTTAGTTATATAAGTAGATATTTTTAGGTGTGATATATTTTGTAAGAATTATATAATTGTATTTGAAATATAAACTGAAAAATCCACCAATACTTGCATTTTATCCTTAAAAATTTCAAATTTCCAGGATAAGGAGTTATCATTATTTACAGTTGGATTAATGTTCTCATATCTAATGTCACCATTTCAATGTTTCAGCTGTTATGCCTTCTGGCTTCTTTCAGGGATGTGTTGAGCCGAGTAACCTTCAGTAAATTTTAAACTGAACTTTTATTCTATCTAGAAGGGTAGATTTATGCCCCTCTTCACGATTGTTCAAATGTTCGCTGCAGCTGATGCTCATTTTCAATTCGTTATTCCTTTTTCTAGTGCTACTAAAAATGTATCCTTGGCATTGTCACTTGGCATTGTTTTGTTTTTTTTTGTCTTCATGGCAATCACATATCAACAACATCAGCAAGCTGGGAGGTAACCAGATTCTATGGGGATTTTACCCAGTAGGAGTTGTGATTCTGTGGAGATTTCAGGTATGAAGCCTTTTGCAGTTTTTTTGCTGAAAACTAATTCCAAATCACAAACCAACAAATCCTGTTGATATCTAACAATGGGTTTAATGATAAATTGAAGAATTTCAAAGTTTATAAGGAGTAAAGAATTATTAAAACCTGGACTGTCCATCTTGTCACCTGGTCTTTCTTTCTGTTCTTCGTTCTGGGTATTGGCTGGTTTATATAAGAATTTCACAAACCTCTGGCATTGATTTATTGTATATTTTTTGTATAAGATGACTTTTCTTTGTTTGAAACCCAGATGCCACTTGTGGTTGGTTGTTTGTTTTATGGCATATCAACCTCAGTGGGTCATTTAATGCCAGCAAAATTTTTGAAATAGATTCATAGCGATAGTTTGGTAAAAAAGGTGTGTATGCATACATATATATTTGAACCATTACTCATATTTTTTAGTATAATCCAACTTCTTTTAGGAAATTGACAATCTTGGATAGTTTTATTTTTGTAAAAAGTTTTTTTTTCAAATTACTCACTTGGTAATATTTTAAAATATTTTTCAAAATCTACACACTCTAACAATATATGTTTCAATGTAAATTTCTCTTGGCATGTAGTGCATATTGGTGATTCTGTGCCCTCTAGTAAATAATGGTGGGTGATATAGGTATGGCCTATGTGAAGGCGGGTCAGCACGTAAATTTCCCTTGGCATGTAGTGTATATTAGGGATTCTGTGCCTTCTAGTAAATAATGGTGGGTGATGTACGTGTGGCCTATGTGAAGGCATCTCTTAATGTGGGTGGGCTTATCTTCCTTATAAATCAGTATTCAACTGAGCTTGAACACTGCCGAATCTGGAGAGGGAGAGAGTGACATGTTGATCATTGCATTAAAATGCTACAGTAATATTTTGTTCACACTAGATCAAAATCTACACATTCTATCAGTATATGTTTCACTA